AGCCGTCTGGAGCAACAGGCTTTATGAAGACAGAAGCTGCTAAGCCCGAATTTCAAAGCAACGCTTCAGTTAGCACTGGCCAGCTGGTGGCGCTATGTCAATAACTACATTTAGGCATGTAGGTGTCTTCAGGCCAGGGCATTTATTAAACATGTGAAGTGTGGGGGAGATTGGATATTGCATGCTTGAGTTACAACAACTTCCTGTTTTATGCCGATAATAGCATGCTTTCGCACTTAGCTAAGCACATGTGTTTCAACTAGAGTTTTAAAATAGTTATTGTGCTCAGATTCACCAAAATACCAAAGTCTGCAAACAAAAGCAAAATATCTGATTATGAACAAAACTTTCTGGTAACCAAATGATATTTCTCTAAATGAACGCATTTACAGGTTAATGTATGTTTGCATTCATGTTCCAATGCTATCTCACGACCAATTCGTACGAATTTGTACGAATGATTAAAAGGTGGCTAATTCGTAACAATTCATACGACCTGGCTCGTACGAATTTGTACGATTTGTCTAAACCCACGTGATGGGTAGGTTTAGGGGCGGGGTCAGGGGTAGGTCATTCGTATCTGTGGGTTAAACATCTAGGGTTGCCAACTTTCTAAAACGGAAATAAGGAACGGGGGGGGGGTGACTTCTGATGACTTCTGGTGAATATTGTATGCTATAATACATTAACGTTATAGCATATTATAATACAACTTATTAGGCCTATATATTTATAGAATAGCAAAGTAGTCCTAATCAATAATATACAAGACTGAACCACATAGATAAAGGCTATCATGATCATTTTGCCAACAATGAACCATGGATTTGTTTAGTTCATAATACATTTTATTTTTAACTTAAACAAATATAACATAGCCTATAACATTCAAAACTCATCGGCTTAGACTGCATTTGAAGAAAAATAAACACAACAGTTTTCTGTAGCCTTGTGCGAACTTATTCAATAGAATTAGACTTCTAGAATGTTCTTTTCAGTGCAAAAAATAATATTTTTAATATTCCTACCTTTAATACCTCGCGCATTCCAGCCACGGGTAGTCATTTTCCCATTCAACTCTATATTTTTGTGCTCTTTTCTTTTTCGCCGGCTGCTCGGAGGTAGTCATTTTTACATTTCCCGCTGTTGTCACTTGTCGTCATCGTTGCTACGATACGTGACTCACTATGACTAATGACCAATTAAAAGAGCATTCTCTGATGATGTTCCAAGATGTTAAAAACGCTACGCGGCTGATCATAGACAAACAGGGGGAGAAATTAGTATCTACCGCACCGTGGCGCACCGTCGGGGGTTTTTTTTTCTTATCATAGAAAAACATACACTCACCGGCCACTTTATTAGGTACCCCATGCTAGTAACGGGTTGGACCCCCTTTTGCCTTCAGAACTGCCTCAATTCTTCGTGGCATAGATTCAACAAGGTGCTGGAAGCATTCCTCAGGGAGTTTGGTCCATATTGACATGATGGCATCACACAGTTGCCGCAGATTTGTCGGCTGCACATCCCTGATGCGAATCTCCCGTTCCACCACATCCCAAAGATGCTCTATTGGGTTGAGATCTGGTGACTGTGGAGGCCATTTTAGTACAGTGAACTCATTGTCATGTTCAAGAAACCAATTTGAAATGATTAGAGCTTTGTGACATGGTGGAAGTAGCCATCAGAGGATGGGTACATGGTGGCCATAAAGGGATGGACATGGTCAGAAACAATGCTCAGGTAGGCCGTGGCATTTAAACGATGCCCAATTGGCACTAAGGGGCCTAAAGTGTGCCAGGAAAACATCCCCCACACCATTACACCACCACCACCAGCCTGCACAGTGGTAACAAGGCATGATGGTTCCATGTTCTCATTCTGTTTACGCCAAATTCTGACTCTAACATCCGAATGTCTCAACAGAAATCGAGACTCATCAGACCATGCAACATTTTTCCAGTCTTCAACTGTTCAATTTTGGTGAGCTCTTGCAAATTGTAGCCTCTTTTTCCTATTTGTAGTGGAGATGAGTGGTACCCGGTGGAGTCTTCTGCTGTTGTAGCCCATCCGCCTCAAGGTTGTGCGTGTTGTGGCTTCACAAATGCTTTGCTGCATACCTCGGTTGTAACGAGTGGTTATTTCAGTCACTGTTGCCCTTCTATCAGCTCGAACCAGTCTGGCCATTCTCCTCTGACCTCTGGCATCAACAAGGCATTTCCGCCCACAGAACTGCCGCTCACTAGATGTTTTTTCTTTTTCGGACCATTCTCTGTAAACCCTAGAGATGGTTGTGCGTGAAAATCCCAGTAGATTAGCAGTTTCTGTAATACTCAGACCAGCCCTTCTGGCACCAACAATCATGCCACGTTCAAAGTCACTCAAATCAACTTTCTTCCCCATACTGATGCTCGGTTTGAACTGCAGGAGATTGTCTTGACCATGTCTACATGCCTAAATGCACTGAGTTGCCGCCATGTGATTGGCTGCTTAGAAATTAAGTGTTAACGAGCAGTTGGACAGGTGTACCTAATAAAGTGGCCGGTGAGTGTATATTGACATACACTCACCGGCCACTTTATTAGGTACCCCAGGCTAGTAACGGGTTGGACCCCCTTTTGCCTTCAGAACTGCCTCAATTCTTCGTGGCATAGATTCAACAAGGTGCTGGAAGCATTCCTCAGGGAGTTTGGTCCATATTGACATGATGGCATCACACAGTTGCCGCAGATTTGTCGGCTGCACATCCATGATGCGAATCTCCCGTTCCACCACATCCCAAAGATGCTCTATTGGGTTGAGATCTGGTGACTGTGGAGGCCATTTTAGTACAGTGAACTCATTGTCATGTTCAAGAAACCAATTTGAAATGATTAGAGCTTTGTGAAATGGTGGAAGTAGCCATCAGAGGATGGGTACATGGTGGCCATAAAGGGATGGACATGGTCAGAAACAATGCTCAGGTAGGCCGTGGCATTTAAACGATGCCCAATTGGCACTAAGGGGCCTAAAGTGTGCCAGGAAAACATCCCCCACACCATTACACCACCACCACCAGCCTGCACAGTGGTAACAAGGCATGATGGTTCCATGTTCTCATTCTGTTTACGCCAAATTCTGACTCTAACATCTGAATGTCTCAACAGAAATCGAGATTCATCAGACCAGGCAACATTTTTCCAGTCTTCAACTGTTCAATTTTGGTGAGCTCTTGCAAATTGTAGCCTCTTTTTCCTATTTGTAGTGGAGATGAGTGGTACCCGGTGGAGTCTTCTGCTGTTGTAGCCCATCCGCCTCAAGGTTGTGCGTGTTGTGGCTTCACAAATGCTTTGCTGCATACCTCGGTTGTAACGAGTGGTTATTTCAGTCACTGTTGCCCTTCTATCAGCTCGAACCAGTCTGGCCATTCTCCACTGACCTCTGGCATCAACAAGGCATTTCCGCCCACAGAACTGCCGCTCACTGGATGTTTTTTCTTTTTCGGACCATTCTCTGTAAACCCTAGAGATGGTTGTGCGTGAAAATCCCAGTAGATTAGCAGTTTCTGAAATACTCAGACCAGCCCTTCTGGCACCAACAATCATGCCACGTTCAAAGTCACTCAAATCAACTTTCTTCCCCATACTGATGCTCGGTTTGAACTGCAGGAGATTGTCTTGACCATGTCTACATGCCTAAATGCACTGAGTTGCCGCCATGTGATTGGCTGCTTAGAAATTAAGTGTTAACGAGCAGTTGGACAGGTGTACCTAATAAAGTGGCCGGTGAGTGTATATTAGAAGCTACAGTATGTACCTGTCATGAATTTGCACTGAATTGATTCTCAAAAATACGGAACAAAGTGCGTTCCGTATCAGTTCAATACGGAACAAGACTTTTATGTGTCAAATACGGGACGATTCCGTATTATGCGGAACGATTGGCAACCCTACAAACATCTGTGTGTGTGGTTTGATCTGTCGGAGGATAAACAGCTTCTGCTGGATGTTTGTCGTCTCTGTGTGTGTCAGTAGTTTGTGGCTCAAGTGTTTCTTTAACTCCTCTAACAACCTTCCACTCCACACAAAACATCTTTACACTGAATTAAAGTGAATCCATCATCAGTCAAATAAGAGTCACAGGTCAGAGGTCAAATATGATTGACAGCTCACAGCACTAAATAACAGTAGATACAGATATCCATTAGTTTACATTCAGGGCCAGAATTCATTTGAAAATGTAAGACCAGCAAAAGCTTGTTGATGTTCGTGATGTTAAAGGAGACGGATGTGTGAGCGGAAACTAACTGATGTTGGGGGAGGATTCACACACAACCAGATAAATATCTCAGTTCAGTCTTCCAGATCAATCTGAGTGTTTCAGACATTAAGAGTTACTATCCTGGGCTTTCAGTGAACCGATGAAGAAAATGTTTCTCAGATTAGTTTTGCTCTGTTTGTGTTTCTGGCGTCTGGATGGTGAGTTTTAAATGTGTTTTTCTGGTTCTGGTATCCTGTGATAAATTACTGGTTAAATTAGTCAGAAAGGATTAACATTCACTGTTATTCTCGTATAGAAACACATAATGTGTGATTTTGCTGAGAGATAACACTCTTATTTGAGATTAAAGTCGATCTTCTTCTTGCAGTTATTTATTATATAAAAGAACTGATAAGAATGTAAATGTGTACCTCGAAATGCAATGTAAGTCGCTTTGGATAAAAGCGTCTGCCAAATACATACATGTATATGTAAAACTAACTATTTCTCATTTTCATTCATCATATTTGGTTTTTGAACTGCTGCAGAATCTTAATCACATTTACATGATTAAATGTATTTTAGTGAAGCTTCATCAAACCAATATCATGTGATTTAAAAGCTTTAATCTGTGACAAACTCTGATCTTCAGGAGTGATTGATGACGATGAAGTGAAGTCAGTGTCAGTGAAGGAGGGAGATTCAGTCTCTCTAAACTCTAGTCTTACTGAAATGAAGGATGATGATGTGATTCAGTGGAGGTTTGGATATAAAAACACATTAATAGCAGAAATCAATGTAACGGCCGACAGAATCACTGTATATGATGATGTTCTTGATGGGAGATTCAGAGACAGACTGAAGCTGGACAATCAAACTGGATCTCTGACCATCACAAACACCACAACTGAACATACTGGAGATTATAAACTACAGATCAACAGTGAGAGGAAGAAGTTCATTCTCAATGTCATTGGTGAGTTACTGGTGAGAACTATTCAATTTAGTAAACCATTATAAAGTGATTTAACAGTATTAATCTCTGACAAACCCTGTTTCTGGGCTTCGGCTGCTGTTGTTGTTCTGGTTTATGACGTCAGATTCAGAAGAGCTGGACAGGATTTTTCATTAGTGATTTTTTAATATTTTTCTATTGTTGTGGAAATTTTAATATTCATTGATCCTTAATAGGTATTACAAAGTAGTGTGTCACATGTTTCTATTGTGTGAACAGTATGTTTGTATATGGAAATGCAGGAGTAAGACACTTTGGGAACAGCTGGAAAGAGACCTTTGTCCCTAGTATTTACCTTTGGTGGTCTTAAGTGTTAACTATTGATGAATAGAAGGATATGAAACAGCATATGTCTTATCTTGAACGTGCATGGGGAAAAAGAAACCCGCTGAGTAAAGACCTTGAGAATAGTATAAAGGCTGCCCGGCTCTTCACTCCACAGGGTAACTGCTGTGTCGGCGACTGGGCCTATTCTTGCAAGAATAAATACTTCTCTTTTTATTAATTTGACTCTGAGTGTCTCTTACGCAGTGATGATGTTTAACGGGATTTTTGCCAAAACACTATATTCCTCTTCCTCAAAGAGTGAAATCTGAAGCTCCGTCACTTTGAACTGAGAACAAGAGAATGAAGATCAAAACCGAAATTAAAACCTTAAAAAAACATTTAGATCAGCTGAAGTCAGTTCAGTGTTGATTCAGTTCTGTTGTAAAGATCATCAAATATTAAACTAGTTCATTTCATCTATAAAGCAGTTCTACAGAAAATAGAGATGTCGTCATCATCATCCAGCTCAGTTCAATTTTTCCGTCAGTAAAGTCAATAATATTGTTGAATTTGAACTGTTGATGTGTGTGACCATCACCGTTTTGTTATCATTTTTTACTTCAGAACTTCACGGACACTTTTGAAATTAGAACCATTGAACAGGATCTACAGGAAGTTTCAGCTTAAAGTGACACTCAGGCCCCGTTTACACGAAGGGAAAACGCAGATATTTCCCTGCGATTTGGCCTCTCATTTACACGAAAACCCAGTTATCACAGAAAACGATTATTTCTAAAAACTCCGGCCAAAGTGGAGATTTCTGAAAACGCCGGTTATGTGTTGCCGTGTCAACTGGGAGAATCGGGGTCTTTAGGTTCTCTCGTGTCGATTCTGAGGATTCTGATTGGCTTTATCCTTCTCCCTACACCGCCGCCCATAGGTTTGGCATAGTTATGATGGCGCTCGACGGCGTATTTATGCGGGTGTGTGCACGATGTTATTATTGAAAACGGTAGAGATGGGATTTATGGCTCTTTGAGGAGATCCGGATCTTGGCGATCCGTTCCTTTCAAAGAGCCGTTCAAAAGAACGGCTCTTTTGGCTCTTTTTAAATATTTAGTCAGTTTTAAGAAGCCAGCTTGGGGGCATCTCAGTTTATCCTGGAAATAATCACTGGGAGGAATGATGAGGTGAGATTTGTAGTCAAATAATTAAAACTCAGATATCACACACCAATATCTGAGTTTGAATTATTCTGAAATATTGATTATTACCTCATTTGTCATGTGTGGACTATATTCCATAGGGTTGCACAACATCCCGCTATCCGCTATGACGTTGGCACTGAGACAGAGATGCACTCGCACACGTGTGTTTTATTTAATTTTTTAACTGGAGTAACCATGTGACGGCAGCGTGCACAAGTCATTAGCTCCGCTCCTACCCAATGACAGAGGCACGTAGTTTTTTTTTTCCACTGGAGTACTCACGTAAGGGCCGTTACATAGTCAACGCGAGCAAGCTACGCAAGCTACGCAAGCTACGCGAGCGACGCGCTCCCTTTCATAGTCTAAACAGTGGACGCAAGCGTCACGGGCGCCGGTGAAATGCAATACACCGCTCACGCAACAGGGGGTAGTAGAGTCGGGTGATATTAGTACAGTCGGGTTACGTGATATTCAGATCAAAAATGACATTGAGGAGTGCATATTGATGATTTTACATCGGCGGCAACAAAGGCAGCGCAGAGATAGGCGGTGGTATGTTCGCCCTTTAAAACGAAGAAGAGATCAGGATGGGGGGTTTGTGTCTCTGAGTCTGGTGCTTCCCACGCGAAGCCTGCCCTGGACGCTATTTTATTGGAGTGTAATTGCGATGAACTGTCATATAAATGCGGATGTATACGTATAAGCTCGCATAATTTTTCCTCTTTGCCCGCCATTGTATTCAAACCTTCTTCTGTAAACATAATATACTTCAATAATGTACAATACTTGCAATGTCGCCCCCACCGACAACGCATAGTATTGCGTGCATCGGTGCGTCGCGTATCAAAAACTAGGACGACACATTTGGCTACGCAGCGACGCATAATGGCGGCCGAAGCGTAGCGATGCGTAGCCTTGCGGACGCGTATGCGTACCGATGCGTTGACTATGTAACGGCCCTAAAGGATGCGCGCGCGCGCGCGTGCACAAGCACAACTATCATCATGCTGTTAGGCCCGATTCACATATCGCGTCTTTTGCGCGCTCAAGTTCATTATTTCAAATGTAGGCGCGCGGTATGCGCACTCATAATGGAAGCGACGCGCTCGTTTTTTCCAAGCGCGTCCGCGGCGCATCGAGAAAAACATCTCAACTTTTCAGAATGCCGCAAGCGCACCGTAGGCACCGTAGCTGATGGTTGCTTAGCAACAACAGACGCATTCGGAGCGCAACCGCCCTAGCGCTTCTTTGGAAAAAGGAGAACGCGCGCGCCTAGCGTTTTCTACGCGTTTTTAGGCGCGATATGTGAATCGGGCCCAGGCAGTAGCACCCCTGCCCTGGGTGCGCCCCTTCCCCTATAACTGAGGAGCTAATTTGTGTACATCTGTGTGAAACACGCATAGGAAAAAAAGAACGACAGAAAGAACGGCTCCCCTCCAGCCGCGACTCGGCTCCCATCGTTCATGTTTATGAGCCGTTCAAAAGAATCGGTTCGTTCGCGAACGTCACAACTCTAGAAAACGGAGGGGGGGAAATATTCGTTTCTCTAAATACCCGGCTATGTGTAAACATGGCCTCAGTGTGTCGAATAATCAGCAAACAAACAAAAACACGACGATGGTCACACACATCAACACTGTCACAGATGTGCAGTTATTTTAGCTGACGGTAGTTTAAGATCATTTTACTAAAAACCAGCTCTAACATCAGAGGATCTGTCAGTTTTGAAGAGTTTGTCTTTTCATATTATTGGACTGAAACTGATGAAGAGAATGTTTCTCAAATTAGTTTTGCTCTGTTTGTGTTTTTGGCGTCTGGTTGGTGAGTTTTAAATGTGTTTTTATGACTTCAGTTGTTTCAGTTCTGATACCATGTAATGGATTACTGGTTAAATTAGTCAGAGAGGATCATCATTCACTGTTTTTCTCATATAGAAATAATTGAACTGTGATTTTACTGTCAGATCAAGTTTGAATTCAGTTCTAAACTTAGTTATTATGGATTGATTAAAATAATATAAATATGAAGCCACTCAACAGCAATAGTTTTAGTGTGACGTTAAACATTAAAGTGTCTTTTTTAGTTATTGTTACATTAATAAATATATATTCTCTTTTCATTCATCATCTTTTGCCTTTGAACTGCTTCAGAATATTATTAATTTCACATTTAAATGATTATAAGTATTTTAGTGAAGCTTCATCAAACCAACATCAAGTGATTTAAAGCTTTAATCTGTGAAAAACTCTGTTCTTCAGGAGCGTTTGTTGAGTTTGTGTCAGTGATGGAGGGAGATTCAGTCTCTCTAAACTCTGACCTTACTGAAATGAAGGATGATGATGTGATTCAGTGGAGGTTTGGATATGAAAACACATTAATAGCTGAAATCAATAAACGGGCCGACAGAATCAATGATGATGTTCTTGATGGGAGATTCAGAGACAGACTGAAGCTGGACAATCAAACTGGATCTCTGACCATCACAAACATCACAACTGAACATGAAGGAGTTTATGAACTACTGACCAACAGTGAGATCAAGAGATTTGTTCGCATTGTCTATGGTGAGTTAAATATTTATTTCACCTGTTTTTTTTTATTTTATTCAGCACAAATATACAATTATTAATCCAAACTCCATTTTGCTTCTGTTGTTTAATGACGATATTCATTTCAAATTTAATGTGGCCGAGTAGTAGGCTATAATATAAACATACACTGTTTTTATTTTGTATTAAAATTGTTCGTGGCCCCTTTAAGAAATCTCTCTCTTCTCGCGATACTATTGACCTTTCTCACAACTTCCGTATTTGTGACCAGAAATACGCAATCGTCGCGGAAATCTTCTTCATCCCCAGTCAGGGCAATATGTAAACAAATGGCGCAAGCAACGAGCAAGACTCATTGTAGCGTACCGGGCTGTTGTAGTTATTCACAAAAGCAGCCATATCTGTCGTTTCATTCCTTCCCTGTTGATAGTGAAGTTAGACGGAAATGGATTCAGGCAATCCGGCGGGATGAAGGACCAAACTTTACGATTAAAAAGGGGAGCATTTAACATTATTGTCGCTATACACAAGATGTTCACTTGGACAACCATACAGAACAAATTGACACCATAATGCTTAATTAAAAGCAGACTATAATGGTTTATTAAAATTATATATAGCCCTATCCTCTATAATATACATTATGTCTAAGTGGACACGCTAATGATTTGCATAGGTGGGTAGTAACGAAGTACATTTACTTCGTTAACTATACTGTCCTTGCAATGAGTTGCTTCTTCAAAGCTCGACAGTTAGCTAACAGTGTAAAGATCTCCAAAAAAGACACAAGGCATAACTTTTCTTGGGTTCCACGAAGAAACTTTACTTTTCTTATTACACTGTAAAACTGTAACAAAGAGCAAAAGACAAACAGAAATGAGATAAAACCAATACAGATATCTAAAGTACACAATTTGTAGCAACAGAATGGTAAGTC